AGTACCACTGTCAACACGGGAAATATGAGCAGCAGCCTTTGTAACTAAGAAAGGGGATGTCCTTCCGCTCCACCTTTTTAGTTGCTCTACAGAGCTATTCCTGTGTAGAGAGCCCATTGATTTCAGTGGGTAGAGGATAATGTTGCAAAGCTACAGAATGTCCTAAGCATACTTAGATTGCAATGAATGGGATTTTCTCCTGAGTACATATGATTAACTCTGAGATGAAATCTAGCTTTTTCAGCTGGTGAGGGTCCTAAAAGTCCTCCCTTTTCAATATGTGAGAATGATGAATTACTTACAGGCTTCTCTATAACCTGCAGGAGGAGCCTGATGGCTGTATGAATAACAGAGGAAAGAAAAAGGAGTGGCTTCTCCTGGTAGTAAGTTTACATAAATATGAAGTGGTGGCTGGATTGTAGGACTAGAACCTGGGAAGACCAGGGTTCCAGTCCCCACTCAGCAATGAAGCTCACTGCATGCCCTTGGGCCAGTCACTGCCTTTCAGCCTAACCCACCTCACAGGGTTGTTGTGGGGATTAAAGGAGGAGGGGGAGAACCATGTACGCAGCCTTGAGCTCCTTGGAGAAAAGGGGGCAGAATGCAATAGAATAAAATAAATTACAAATCAAAGATGAGAGAGTGCAGAGTGACTCAAAAACATCATTTTTTAACACAGATGCAGATACAAGGTAAATCTTGGGGCCTCTAAGTATATCACTTTGTACAGTATATCACTTTCTGAAACAGTTCAGATGATCTAATTGTAATCCTTTCAATAATTCTGTATTGGTAAGTTAGCATTATATCCTTATTATCCCACATACTGCAGGCGTGGAGGGGAATTGAGGTAGTTTGCCTAAGCTGAGCTCACGGCGGAAGCAAGATTCAAACTCGGATATCAATATTCATAGTTCAGTCTCTTGGCCACTATGCTACATTATTAAAAAGCAACCCCAACAAATGCCTTTAAACTACACTGTTCTTTTTTTTAAATGTGTATCATAAATTATGAATCAATGTAAGCAAAATCATACTAGAGCATTACAATGTAGATAAAACCTATGCATTATCACACACTTTTTTGTTTCAAAACAAAATAGAATTTGACAATTATTCTATAAATCTGATTGTTTTCTCCTCTGATGAAGTACATAAGTTTCACTAATATTATTATATTCCAAATAATTCCAAACCATTCTACAATTAATGGTGTTTAAATTTGCTTCCACACTTTAGCAATAGTTACCTTTACTGCTCATTTTTTAGACTTTGCGTTTTTTGTTTGAATGGCATGCTCTCAGTGACTGATGCTTAAAGAATGACGCTTAAAGTGTCATTCTTAATGATATCATCAGTATATTTTTATTTCAGAACTGTAGCATTGATCACACGTGTTTGCATCTATACAACTCCCAAGCACCTTCAAGTAAAGAATGGTGCCTTTTAACACATCTACTGTTCCTTAGTCTTTTATTTTATTTCATCCTTCCTTGTATGCAGCAGCAGTGTGTAGGACAAGTAGTTACAGTAGCACAGAAGAGAGGATTAAGTGATTACTTGGCATTTGAAAATTGCATGTCTGTTTAAGGGCTCTTACAAGTATTTAGAAGAATGTATTCTCACTGTGGTATACTTGGCTTCCTGACAAATTTCCTCCCTAAGCTGAGCACAGCATCAGCATCCTACCAGAATAAAACAAACAGGCACCAGCATACTTCTAAATGACACACCCTAATGGATGTACACACAACAGTACACACACTGTTGGCTTGAAACTAATTACAGAAATTGATCTGCTGTGGGTTCTTGGTGTTGTTCTTTTTAAGAGAGCATAATATGTAAATGTAACACAGTTAATTCATATGACTTATTTGGGGAAACTAGTCCTTTTTTTTAAGTTCACAAATATAAGCACCATCAATAATCTATATTATTTTACTTCTTTAATTAATTAATTAATTAATTAATTATGCTTTTAGCATATTAAATGGCTATACTTGTTATCAGGATCGTTGCATTGTTGCCTTTTTGAGATAATAAAATTGATTTAAAAAAGGTACCACACATGGTTGGTTAGAAAGCCTAGATTTTCCAGAGCACCTCTACTCTTAATTCCTAGCCCCACCAATTAAACTGGAATTTGGCCCCTAACAATAAATTAAATATTACTTTTATTTGAGTTGACACAGGAGTACAGCCCCATCCAAAATGTAGGGTGAATGTTTCAAGTACTATGCTGTACTGTGTAAGCAACCAATTCTTATTTTTTTAGAATGCACATATTCTAAATTATCTGTAGAGGAGGGGTGAGGAATCTGATGTTCTCCAAATGCTACTGGGACTCCATCATCCCTAACCATTGGGCTTATTGGCTGGGGCTGATGGGAGTAGAAGTGTAACAACCTCTGGAGGGCTAAGTACCCATCCCTCAGTAGAAGCTGAGAGTTTATCCGTTCCTTAACAGAATACATGCACCCATGGGTATTTTTCTTCACAGCATACCTTTTTAAAATATAATCAAATTAACAAATTAAAAATGAAAATTGTGCATAGATATCACAAGTGTATGTATATGTATTTATATTTAAAGTTAAGCCAGTATGTTTAAGTTACATATGGATCTATGGTTAATCAAGAACAATTAAGTGTTTTTTCTAATAACTTCAATCTATCATAGCCTACAAAACAGACTGATAACAATGCAGTAACTAAAGGTCTTATCAAACTTCAGTATTTTTAAAAAAATATCATTTCATTTTAATTATGTACTCCAGTTAATCATCATATCAATTTAGATCACTAGATCTTCTTCAATCCTTCTGATCATCATTGTTTTCTTTTTCTCCAAAACATTAATTTATCCATTTTCCAGTTTAATTAAATCAGCCTATCAGTTCATCAACATTGCTAATATCCCCACCCTAATTCAATCATTAACCTAAAAATATTCGTATTCTTGCAGAGTTATGGATTCAGCTGAATGGGAATATAATATAGTAGTTCATTAAGCTAATTCATCCTAATTTTCAATTAGTCTCTTCCATTTTATCAGAAACACTACCAGCTCAGAGAACACTATTCCTGTAACGTAAAAAATAATAAAACTAATATCAAATCCTGAATTTTCCATTCAATTAAATCAGTGTTCAGAACAATTCTGTGCATGTGTACTCAGAAGTCCCAAGAACTCTCAGGTAAATGTCCTTGGGATTGTACTCCTAGACTTCCTTTGGCAGTTTAGCTGCTGCTAATCCTTGGAGCTCACTCATCTTTTCTTCTTTGCACTCTTGCTTTGAAAATGTACTGTAGACCACAGTGGTTTTCAAATGCTACTTTTCACATGGAAAAGGTTACTATTGCTGTCACCTCTCTGTCTGCATAGATGCAAACATTTATTTTATGAAGAAATATTCCATGTGGCTGGCATAGGAGAGGTAGGGTCAAGTAGCAATTGGATGCTGAGATTTAGATTGACATGTTAACTTTGAAATAAAGCTTCTGAAATTCAAGCCAAGAAGGATGTTAATGAAAATAAACAGACCTCCAGATTATCACCAAAAAGATACAGACTTGCAACTTCTGTGGGGATTTGCTTCTGGAGATTGCATATCAAGCTGAAATTGTGTATAGCCAGAACAACCCCAGAACTGACTCCTGCAACCACCCCTATCTTTCTGGATCTGGCATACCAAGCAGGTGCCCGCCCCCTTCCTAGCAAGGTGGAGAGCTTTTAAGCTCTCCTCCTCACTTACCAGGCTCTGGGAGGCTATCATACCAGCTCTGAAAGCCTCCCAGACCTTGGTAAGTGAGGCGGAGAGCTTAAAAGCTCTTTCCACAGTGGGAAAACCTAGCACGGAGTGAACTTTTAAGGGAAGGTTTTTGTGTGGCTCTGCAGGAGGAGACTTGCCAATAGATTGGCCCAATTCACAGGATTTGTTTTGCCTGCTCTGCATTGGCATGTAGATGAATCACCTAGTGATAGAAGTATGGTAAATAGAATAATTTGGTCACATTTTTGGTAGGTAGGTGTGTGAATTCACTAGGCAGGGTTAAGCTTTGGTGATCACTCTTAGTCTCCTTAAGGAGTTTAGTCCCAAAACTTGCCTTCAAGGCTGTGAGACATGTTGACAAGGTAAGGATCAACCTAGAGGCTAACCTGTACACAGTGGTACCTCGTTCCGGAGGTCCGTTCTTAACCTGAAACTGTTCTTAACCTGAAACACCACTTTAGCTAATGGGGCCTCCTGCTGCTGCCGCGCCGCTACAACACGATTTCTGTTCTCATCCTGAAGCAAAGTTCTTAACTCGAGGTACTATTTCTGGGTTAGCGGAGTCTGTAACCTGAAGCGTATGTAACCCGAGGTACCACTGTACTACGTGCTTGGAGTTGCAGCAGTCAGATTTCTGGACATATTATCACCTATACATATTCACTTTTAGAGATTCATTAAATGATCTCATTCAGCACACTTTATTTGTGTTTTATTTCTCTGTCATGGTCACAAACAAAAATCTGACTCGAGCTAGATCCGATAATCTAAATCTTGCTTTAAATGACTGCTGGATAGCTGCTTGAATTGTATGAAAGGCTAAGCTATTGTTTATATAAAAGTATCTAACTTTTAGTCTGAAAGAAATTATACTACTCTAGCTTGGCAGGTTGCTTGTTAAGAGCGAAACCATACATGGTTAATCTAACTAACCCTCTCATTAGCCTTTCTGCAGTTATGGGGGGCAAAGTAAACTCTCTGATTGTGATTGACATCTGTTTGGTTTGGCTTTAAGTTGAGCAACCTTAAGCCTGTATTATAAAATGTAAGCCTTAATGAAATCTTTTTTTAATTATTATTTTTTAATTGGAACATCTTTCTCTCTTTTCAATTTGTATTTTTATGTGAATATGAAATTTATCTAAACATAAGAAAAGTGTCAAGCTCATGCAAAAGTTGAGAGGATAAGCTGTGTTCATACTACAGAATTCTGTGTTTCTGTTGCAGGAGATTCCTGTCACCTTTCTAGTGTGAAAAGTCAACCACCATCCTTCTCATAACATCACAGCTTTTGATTAATAATGCATGCAGAGTTCACTGGGTGAGTAAATACTCTATATGCATATATGGTGTTTGCACTTGTTTTATGCAATATCGTTTCTGAATGATTGAGCCTGAAGTATAAAATGCAAAATATTTCTGGAACCAGTGATGGGACTCAAAGGAGAATGAGTTTTCAGAGTGCAAACAGCGGGTGCAATCCACTGTTAAGGCCCATTGATTTCTGTAGAATTAAAATAAGTGTTCAACTCTCTTCCATTGGAAACAGTTGGACTTCTTAGAGTTGAATGTGCTTAACTTTGGTTAGACTATGGAGTTTTGCCCACTGCACAGCCTGCTATCCATCAAGCCAGAAGTCCTCCTTCCAGTCGTTGTACGGCAGCCATCAAGGGCTCAATAGGCAACCAGTGGCAGGTAGCAAAAATGGGAGGGTTATCAAGCCCCTTGTGGATAATGTTGTGTGGGCCTAGTATACCTTAAATGAATTTATGGTTCCAGTGCATGAGTGGGGGGTAAGCAGTGTATTTCCAAGGATAAGCCTGGAGCTGTAAGTGGTTCAGGAAGCTTTTTGTCTGCTTTTTGTCTGCTGCTACTATCATTTTCCAATGTCAAATCAATTTCAATAACCAAGTTTTATGCAAAACTTTAAATAATCCATTTCTAAGCCTGTGTTGGCTTTGTATGCCAATGAAAGCAGAACATTGGCATATGTGCTCAAAATAATCTCAATTTGAAGCATGAGAAAGAATGAAAAATGGAAACTTTTGTATTTTTATCCTGTTAATGTGAATTTCAGTGACATCACTAAAGTCTTTCAGTCTTTCTGGTAACCTACTTCTCCAAAGAAGAGTGGTGAAGTCTGATACAACCAGGTTAATTTGCTGGACACATCTGAAAATGGGCAGAGGAGCATTGTTTAATAGGAACTAGGGTAGACAGAAGGGGCAGAGGAGCATTGTTTAATAGGAACTAGGGTAGACAGAAGGTATGACAGGAAAGAGAATGAATCAAGTACCAAATGACTGGTCTGAGCCCTCCAACACATTTTTTAAAATGATGGGAAAAGGCAGCAAAAGCAGATGCAGCCTGTTGCATATTTTATCCAAAAGATAATCCACTATACAGTTCATCATAACAATTATCTATATTTGGAACCAAGAAAGGAGATTCCAGCTAAACATTAGGAATAACTTTCTAACAGAAAGTGCTGTTCAATAGTGGAATGGACTACCTCAGAAAGGACTACTTTCATTAGATGACTTTAAACAGAGGTTGAATGACCATCTGTCAGGGATTCTTTAGTTGTCATTTCTGAATTGCGGGGGATTGGATCAGATTATCTTTTGGGTCCCTTTCAATGTCACCTTTCACACCAGTATTGTTTAAACAAAGAAAATCCCTGGACTTACTGAAATATATTTATTGGTCACAAGGAAAACTGAGAACCTGGAGAGAACCATAGATTAATAGATAGTGGTTGAAGGCAAGAAGTAATATTTGGAACAATCATCTGGATTAATCAGTCTGAAAGTGTCTCTTTCTGCAGAAAGATTTACTGGTTTAGCTCGATAAGATATCTATTTTCTGGCTAGCCTCAAAGGGGGGATGCAAGTTCCTATGGGAAAGCTTTCTTAGGATGAATTAAATAACGGTTGGAAGCACTGTCACACAGGCCCATCTTGAAATTGTGGGCAGGTTTGTAATCTGATATTGATTGCCGATCACACTTCATTGAAGTGTATCTATCTCAAAAAGTCTGTCTGGTGTAGTGGTTAGCTATGAAACTCACTGGGTGAGATCTTGAGCCAGTCATTGTCTCTTAGCACTAGCCTACTTCACAGGGTTGTTGTGAGGAAAAGATGGGAAGGGGAGAACCATGTACACAACCTTGATTCCTCTTGGAAGAAAGGTGGGGTAAAAATATAATTATAAATAATACATAAATAAATAAGCTCAATTGTCTGACTGCCTATTCAACTTGAAGTTCATGTCTTACTCGTTAGCGATGGAACCCAACTTTGAAAGGTTCACATCAGTAACACTGCAGTGAGCAATGATGAAAGATAATGGAGTAAAGAAATTCTTTTCCATATACTGTGATGGGAGAAAAGAGGAGTAAAATGTCACCTCTTGAAAGTGGAGAATAAAAGCTTCATGTCATATAAACCTTACAGATATATCTCCTTCTCCGTAGAAGAGTATCAGTGGAGACATAAAGATAAAAAGTTTTGAAAGATCTTGTCATCCTTGCTCTTAGGTTGTCAAATGTAACTTTCAAAGGCAGGCTGCCAAGCCATGTGCCATAGGTTGTTCAGGGGAGGGTGGGGGGCGTGATCATACACAGATAGCCACAATCCAAAGGCTCTTATAAAGCAGATATTTCTCTTGAAGTAGTGGGCATGTTGTTTCAGCAGATCCTTTTGCTGAACTGGAAGCTTAATAAATAGATTGTGGTCTAGTAAGGAGACCTGCTCATTTAAAGACCGTGTGTGTGTGTGTATGTGTTTATTACTCCTCTGTTTCCTGTCCTACAATGTATTAGTGATGCCACAAAAGGGCATTTTTGCTCAAATGTTGGAACCCTAAACTTTATTGTGAAGACTAAACTCTGCTGCCAATTCTTTTCTTGATTGCTTTGCATTTTCTGCTGGTGGGGGCATGGGATACTTCCTGTTATATGCCCTCTACGTCCACAGTTTAGGAAGTTATGCAAATCAAAAGTGTGTGTCTGTAGAAGAAATCATACAGTTCCTATTACTATTCTGAGTATACCGGTCCCCTATACTTATTTGCTGACTCAGACATAGTGTGATAAGCTGGAAGTTGAGTAATGAAGCTAGAAGAACTTTCTTCAGCATTTATCCAACTTCCATAGTCTACATTCCATATATTCAAAGAACACATACAAATGTTAGGACATCACACAATTTAGGGGCAGAGGCTAGAGATAAACATGCTTTCCTGCTGACTTAATTCCACAGAGTGTCTGGGATGTCTGTTCATTTATGTTTCTAGGTCAGAAAGTTTGCAAGTGAGTAAAATTTTAAATTAGACCCAGTTTAATATAATATTTAAGAAAGTTTAAAGGGACTAGCTCCACAGGTTCTCAAATGTTTTGTATGAGAAGGCATTCCCATATTGCCTCAAAATCAATTTCATGTGAAATTTTGTTAGCAGCTCCAGAGATGCAGTTTTGTACTCTCAAATTACATTAACCTCAGTGTCAGTTCTCACAGTGAATTTTAGGTAGCATTGTTAGGAACAAGAGAAGAAACTCAGTGGTATGGACATCACTTTCCAACAAAATAATATGTCTTGATATTTGCTTGCCTGATTCCAGTGCTATTGGATGAGGATAAAGGGAGTGTAGATGTAGTAGGATGGGGATCATTTAGTTCAGTGGTCAACTTGTGTCCTGCCCCATGTTGCTGGACTACAACGTCCATCTCTGTCCATGATAGTTAGGGTTGATGGGAGTCGGAGTCCAACAACATTTGTAGGACCATAGGTCCCCTAATTTAGTTGATCCAAGAAGTAGGAGAAAAATCTCTAAAAAATAGTTCAGGGGACTAAAGTGAACTTGGATGGCTTCAAAAAAGGATTAGACAAATTCATGGGGATAAGGCTTTCCATGTCTACTAGCCATGATGGCTATGTTCTACTTCCACTGTTGGAGCAAGATGCCTCTGGAGCAAGATGCCTCTGGAGCAAGATGCCTCTGGAGCAAGATGCCTCTGGCTACACAGGTGGGGAAAGTATTGTTGTGCTCAGGTTCTGTTTGAAGACTTCCTACGGGAATCTGGTTAGCTGCTGTGAGAAGAGGATGCTGGACTAGATGGGCCTTTTTCCTGATGCAGCAGCTCTTCATGTGTTCTTATGACTTGGGAAAGATGAGGGAAAGGTGTTTGTTTGTTTGTTTGTTTGTTTGTTTGTTTGTTTGTTTGTTTATCACATATTTGATCTAGTTCAAACATGTTACATGTGGGCCTGGGTCTCTGCTATATATAGCATGTGAGCTATGAACCAGGTACTTACAGACCAATAGTGTTCAAATCTTGTCTGTTGTGCCATGTACGTAAAAAGCTGCGTGTCATGGAGCATTTCTCAATTATTTTGGTTTTCTGGAAAACATTGAATTGGAAAATGTCCCTAGGCAAATTAGGCTACTTGGCACAGGGTAATTTGAATCAGAGCATTTGTTAGTATGTTCCAGAAAATTTCCTGATGCCCTAGAGAGGGATCTAATTTCGTGTACTGATTTTACTTGTATTTAGTAAACAAAGCTGAAAACTTTGAAATTGCCAGGCTTGCCTAATATTTATTTGCTATTGGCATCTATTCAATATTTATTTGAAATTGGCATCCAGTCATTATTACTAATGAACTTAAGAAATATATATTTCCCCCCACTGGCAAAATCACTGTAATTGCCCTAGAATGTATCAGGACTTCAGCTGCCTAGATGAGAGTCAAGGTATGCTTCTTATGATGTTACCAAATGCCATGTGATACGGGACCTTGTTTGATTGAAAAAGACCATTTACCATATAATCAGGAGCAGTGATTGTAGCCTGAGGTGGCTGTGGGGGGACCCCAGGGGTGGGGATCTTCACCCAAGCGATCACCAGTGGCGTCTTCAGCCTCAGCCAGTTGCAGAGTCTTCTGGAGCTTTCTGCCCAAATCTGAAACTTAAAACAGCCAATCACAGCCAGACTAGGGGGCACAAGTGTTGAGACAGAGCTGACAAAGACTGTCTCCACTCAGAACTGCCTCCATGCCTTATATTCCTGTTGCACTGGGAGTGGGCAGCACAGTCTGCAACCGTCATCCCATCTGCCCACCCTGTATATCTTGGTGGGAAAGGCATTGGGTTGGTCTAAACTGGAACAAGGGGGTCCTGGTAAAGGGGTCCATGGTGAAAGACCCAGATGGGGACTAATGGGCCAGAAAACTTCCTCAAGTGTGGCTTGGTGGGGTTGCCCCATTTATCTGCATCATGGGGGGGGTCCTTTAACCCAGAATTGACCTTAAGGGAACAATCAGCCAGCATTCAGGCTAGGCTGATTTGGGATACAAACCCAACACCTATGCCAAAGCCAACTTATGTCTGCAATCAATAAAAGTTGTAGCCATTGCAAACCAAAACTGTTGCCCTGTCATTATTGGAATGTACATGCCATCAGCTCCCAGGGAACCAGAGTTCATTGCACCTGGGCCCACAATATTTATATACTAGAAAGACACTTTGTGGAACATGATAATAATAATAATAATAATAATAATAATAATAATAATAATAATAATAATAATAATATATTATATGTACCCCACCCATCTGGCTGGGTTTCCCCAGCCACTCTGGGCGGCTTCCATAGAAACAAAAAATACACTAAAATGTCACACATTAAAAACTTCCCTGAACAGGGCTGCCTTAAGATTTCTTCTGAATGTCAGGTAGTTATTTATCGCTTTGACATCTGATGGGAGGGCGTTCCACAGGGCGGGCGCCACTACCGAAAAGGCCCTCTGCCTGGTTCCCTGTAGCTTTGCTTCTCGCAATGAGGGAACCGCCAGAAGGCCCTTCTGATAGTGAGAGCTATTGTGGATGGATGAATGTGAACTCTTGTAAAAGTCAGGGAGGCAGCAGTTGAAATTGACAGAAACAAATTGGCCCCAATAATTATGTGCTTCTGGCCAAACATTTTACCTACCTTCACTCATAACACTGAAGTGCTGGCTAGATGACATTGGAGAGATCTTGGCAAAACTATGAAGTCCACTTTCATCATACGAGACTGCTAGGTAACATGTTAAGACTTCACGTATTCTATTAATGCATTTTCACCAGAGCTACTGTTATCAGCAGGATCCAAAATTGCTGTAAATCTATTTGTGGCAGAAACTCAAGCTTGGCAGCTAGGAGTAATTTGCATATTACCTTTTCTCCAGGTGATCCTGTGCCTGGATACAAATTGAGCCAGAAGGTAAGCATATAGTGTTCATCCACAGGTATGTGGATTTAAAAGCTAGGTGCAGAAGCAGGGCTGAATGGATGTTTGCACTTACAAAGTTCAAAGGAGCCAATTTATTCCAAAGGTGTTGCCATTTGTTAACCACAAATCTGTTTAAAATGCAAGTCTTGTCACAGAGGATTCGTTCATCCTAATGAAACTTGACTCTTGCTCCATTTCTTTGTGGAGGCCTGATTTCTAGGACAGTCAATTCATTCCCAGTGAAGCTTCAGTCCAGTCGGACTAAATTTTCACTCAACTGTAAGTGAGTTCTTTTGCTAATCCCTCTTGGAATGCAGTAATTGCCTTACTATTTAGGTAGTAGGTACGATATCCCAAGAGGGTTATTATCTTTTCCTGAGCTGTCGCTGAGCCATTGAAACTATAGCTGCTCAGTGAAGGAAAGGCTAAAGAGAAGTCTCTAGTTCCCAGTCCCTCTATAGCTGCTCCTAGCAGGGAGCAAAAAGAAATTGGTTGAGCCTTGCAGCAAGTGCTCCCCATTGGGAATGGAGAGAACTTCAAAGCTCTTCTCTCCTGTGGTCCTGAAATTCTCAGCATGCATGAGCTGAAAGGAAATGAGTGGAGAGTCATGAAGACTGTATTCTCACATCACTAACATCTATAGATGTTACTTTACAAGATGCAGGGATATGAATCCCCTTCAAGGCTACTTTCTTGATTTTGTGGGTGACAGAAGTAAGACTGTACTATGGCTTTGGAGGTTCATAGGGGGGCACTTTGTCCGACAGACGAGCTTCCACTGACTCACTGAGATTTTTTGCTATCTTTATCAGAGTTACTTTTGTTTAAAATTCACACAGAAACATATCTGAGCATATTTGTCTAGTATTTCTGTTGTTAGCTGCCAAATTTGTTGTAGCAAGGTTCTGGAAAGGTGATATTTTACCCACGTATGTGTTGTGAATTGATAAGGTGTGGGAACTTATGGTCATAGAGAAGCTAGAAGTTGTCAAAAGACAAAGCAAGCCAGAAAATGTTTTTGTCAGTGTGGGAACCTTTCTTAACCTTCTCTGAAAATAATTCAAAAATACTGAGTAAATTGACTAAATGCAAAACAATGTATGGACTGCTTAGAGAGTGTTCAGAGACATTCAAATGTAGCAAATGGGAAAGCTAGTTAGGTGGAGGAGAAATATAATGATGTCGTTCACATTGAGAGGGTTTTTTTATATTATTAATGTGGAGTAAAGGGAATGTCATCCAAGCTGATCAGGATTCCACTTCTGTTTAACCATGGCTACTTAGGAAGGTCTGCATTGATGTTCCAGAACCAGAATTCATTCTGTGATATTGCGGTCAGGTAAACTGACCCAGATGGCTATGTGAGCAGACTCTGAATGTGATGATTAGTACATCACAATTCAGGGAAGCTGTAAGGCAACTTTTTAGAACATTGGCAGCTTGGCCATTGTGAAGAGCGGAATGCTCTCTGTACCACAGAAGGGTTTGAAAGGGCAGAGCAACTGAGGTGAACAAGGTTCAGGGAGGCTCTGAGGATGAATGTGGATTGCCCAGGACTGGTCTTGCTGCCCAAGGTGGAACAGCAGATGGTGACCTCCCCCAGTCAAGAAACATCGTACCCAAGCCTGGCCAAGTTATTTTGGCATCCGAGGCCAAAAATCTCTGAAGCGCTTCACAGTAAAAATGCAGTAATAATAAATAATTTAACAATTTGCTGCCCTTCTGTGATGCCAGAAATCAGCTCCCTGAGGGGACTCCTTCTTTCTGTCGAATGGTGAGGCCAGCCCTGATTGCTCCTGTAAAATTTTGCAGCTCTTATTGAAGTGCTTTTGTTTCCTTCAAAGCCCCAGTTTAAACCTGATGCATTCAATGTACCCAGGTAACTCTGCACATATCCAGGCTTGCCTCAACTGCCCGAGTTTCATAGCCTGTAGTTGAGGGCTTGGCTTCACTAAGATACTGGGTGTATACAACACAAATATGTTATTTTTGATTCCCTGGCATTATGTCTTCTGGCAGGCCAAGTTTTGGAGGTTTGTAGAGGTTTTTTTGGTGGCATGGAAGAATATGTAATCATGGGAGCCTCAAATGCAGTCACAAGTGTGATGCAATTTGGGCATAGATTTTCCACGACCTCTGCTTCTAGTGAGAACGATGCCCCATCATTTCCTCTTTATTTAAAAGTTGCTGTTCTCTTCCTTTGTAGCACCAATGGGTGCAATCCAGCATAGCAAGATGTGGCGTTTGCCCATTCTTTTGGAAATGTCTGTACAAATCCGCAATGAGGTTCAGGAGATGCTGAAGGTAGGGATCATAACCCCCTCAGACAGTCCCCGGGCAGCACCGGTAGCGCTGGTAGACAAACCTGACGGCTCTATAAGATTTTTTGTTGACTACCGAAAGTTAAATCACGTCACTAAGGCGAATGCCTATCCAATGCCCCACTTAGATGACCTAATTGAGACCATAGGCAGGTGCCATTTCATTACCTGTCTAGACTTGACAAAAGGCTATTATCAAGTAAAAATGTATCCTGGGGACCAGGAAAAGACTGCCTTTAGAAGTCCCCTAGGATTATATGAGTTTAAGGTGATGGCCTTTGGGCTAAAAAATGCGCCAGCAACCTTTCAAAGGTTAGTGGATAGGATCTGCATGGATTAAGGGAGTTCACAGTAGCTTACCTGGATGATATTGCCATTTTTAGTCAGACCTGGTCTGAACATATAGAGCACCTGGAGTTAGTGCTTGTTGTTGTTTAGTCGTTTAGTCGTGTCTGACTCTTCGTGACCGGAGTTAGTGCTACAAAGAATTAAAGAGATGGGCTTGACCCTTAAGGCTAGTAAATGTCAGATTGGGGACTCAGAAATCAAGTACCTTGGACATATGGTGGGTGGAGGAATAATAATAAAGCCTTCAGAAACCAAGGTAGAAGCGATTACGAACTGGCCTACCCCTACGTCAAAAAAGAAAGTGAGAACCTTCCTAGGTTTGGCAGGGTATTATCGAAAATTTATCCCTACGTTCAGTGAACTAGCTGCACCACTGACCGACCTGACTCGCAAGAAAGAACCGGAGTGTGTTGAGGGGACATCAGCGTGCCAGCAGTCATTTGATGCGCTAAAGAATGCTGACTACCGGACCAGTCCTCATCGCACCGAACCATGACCTAGAGTTTATCATCTTTACAGATGCATCACATGCCGGGATCAGAGCCATGCTGTGTCAACCGGGAGAGGAAGACAACCTGCATCTGATCACGTATGTCAGCAAGAAATTGCTACCCAGAGAGAAACACTTTCCACAATAGAAAAGGCATGTTTTGCTATCGTCTGGTCCCTACAGAAGTTGAAACCATACACCTGGGGCCGGAAATTTATACAGTGGTACCTCGGGTTCGTTCCAGAGGTCCGTTCTTAACCTGAAACTATTCTTAACCTGAAGCACCACTTTAGCTAATGGGGCCTCCCGCTACTGCTGCGCCGCCAGAGCACAATTTCTGTTCTCATTCTGAAGCAAAGTTCTTAACCCGAGGTACTATTTCTGGGTTAGTGGAGTCTGTAACCTGAAGCGTATGTAACCTGAAGCATATGTAACCCAAGTTACCACTGTACTGTGCACCGATCATTCACCCTTGCTTTGGTTAAGGACAATGAGAACCAATAGCAAACTGATGAAGTGGGCCCTGTTGCTGCAGAACTTCAATATCACCATAAGAAGCGTGAAAGGGTCCCTGAACATTGTGGCCAATGCATTATCAAGAAGACCCAATGATGAAGGTTAACCATGGACAGTTAATAATTTTTCTTGTTGATAACTGAGTTGCCTAAAATGTATTGAAACCTCTGTATAATTGAATGTTTTGCTATTAGGCAATTGTTGTACTAGAGAGTATGGGAAGTTAAATGTATAACGTAAGTGTAAATATGTTTATTTTCTTTAAACGTCTAATGCCGTTTGATCAAGAGTGTAACTCTGTTCAGTTATCCCTCCTGATCAAATTTCCTTAAGGGGGGAGGGATATGGCTTTTGCCCGTTCTTTTGGAAATGTCTGTACAGGGGGAGAGAAAGGTTAATAGGTAGACCAATAGAAAAGCCAGAGGCGGAGCCTATCTGTTTTTAAAAGGCTTAGCCAGAGGTTTAGTCAGTTGGGAAAAAGCAGTTGGGGGAAGGAGCAGTTGGGAAAGCAGCTGGAATACAGAGGGAAATAGAGAGACAGTTAGTGCAGTTGGTTCTTGTTTGAGGGGAGGTACAAGAGTTAGAGACAGGTTAAAATAAGACTAGGAGGGTAAAGGGTAACAGTGTTTCGAATGCATTTAAAGTTTATTTGTGTTTGCAATAAACGACAATCTTCGTTGTTAACTTGAGAACCCCACTGAGACTAAGTGTTTTACCGGGGAGAACCTGGTTGGCGGCAGCAGATTAGTGGTGTACAGGTCAATAGTCTGTGAGACGACCGGGGGCTCCGTTCGAATGCCACACAAGCATCTTCGCATGTAATGAGGCTTCTCCTTCCTCTCCTCCTGTCTCTCCTCCCATCTGCTCTCCTCCTGCAGTTGCTCACAAATTCTGCCCCATAAAGTTGGGGGATGCTCCAGAGTAGATTTTGCATGGGTGGGGGGGTATTGTAAGGAGGAGGAGAGGAAAGGTAAGTCTTGTTGTGCAAGTAGATTTTCACTATGCAAGCAGGCAGGCAGACATCACTAGTTGTCACTAATTGATTTCTTTCTCAATTTTTGTCTGTTCCATAGAGGCAGAGGTGAGACAATGAAAGGTCATTCCCTGATCATCTTCCTCTTGCCTTTGACCACAGTATTAACAGTATGAATGATTTTTCTCTCTGGTCTCAGCTTAGTAATTTTGGAAGTGCCTATAATGTATTCAGATCCCTAAAGATTTGCAAGAAGTTTCTGCATATATTGTAGTATAGTTAAGAAGCATTTATGAGATAACATTTACTTAAGAATTCATTGTCTTGTTTTAAATAGAATTTT